AAGCACGGTTGACTTTTCGAAGTTAATCGCGAGATTTTTTCGTATTCTTTTCTTTCCCTTCACTAGAAATTGCATTCTATTTAAATAATAAAGGTTCTAATTTCGCGAAGAGAGTCGAGAGATAGGAGCAAGGGATGTTGGACCGTCCTTAGTCAGACACACGTGCAGCCACGTTAGAAGAATCCCGAGTAATCTTGGCCGCGATAAACGTTCGTTCAAATTGCTATATCGTAGGGAATGTACGTGTGGTGGCAAGTCGAATCGAGGAATAACGTGTCGTTGCAAATTCGTAGGGCGAAAATCGTGACGAAGTTTCGAATCCAAATCCGCGAATAAGTTTTCGAGTTCATTGGAGAAATTGATATTGGATTTATAGTTCTAATCATCGGCGAGTGAAATTTTCAATTCGACATAAAATAAGCGAGAAAGCAGGATGACGATATTTTCTTCTGACTTTTTGTAAAGCGTTTTTCAATAAAAATTGAAAAAATTTGTCGATATATGTATGCGATAGGGATTAATTCGTATTCGTTCATGGAAGGTGAATATAATAAATTAGAAGTAGCGAGGTATATTCGAGTTGTTTAATCGTAATCGTTTATTTAAAATTATGAATCGTTTTATATTGATTTACATTGACGGTAATTCACGCAGAAAAATCAACGATAAAGCAACAATTTCAACTCTTTCTGAGCATGTGTTAATCACTGTTTAAACACAGTATAATTTCATGTGAAACATAATTTCAAACAAATATATATAAAAAAAAATTGAATTACCTCAAATGCATTTGATTAGTTCGTATCATTCACAATTACAAATTAATCCATTTCTCTCTCGAAACGACTTTCAAAATACTTCGTCCCTCTTCATTTCGAACGCGTTACATATAATAGAAGACAAGAGGCGAAAGAGCTACCACAAATCGTAATTACAGTGTGTTACACGCGTTGAGGCGGGATTTTTTCGCGATTAATTAACCCGGCTGTAGAAATTAAAAAAAAAAAAGGAAGAAAGAAAGGAGGAAGAGAAAGAAAGAGAGAAAGAAAAAAAAGGAGCATATTTCCCACTCGCGCGAGATAAAATGAGAATTGGTCGCTGGTATATTTTGAATAGGGTTGGAGTTTTGCTCAAACCTCTTTCTCTCAAAAGAAAATATTCTATATACGGAGACGTTCGTGAATTTTATCCGGTCGTAAAACAATTACGCAAGCTCGCCGCCTCGCTTTAATTCCAGTCCATTGTCGACGCGAGTCAAGGGGGGAAAAAAATAGTAACGTTTCCTCCCTTTTATCTTTGTTAACTCGTTACGTGTTCGGTCTACCTTGCCCTGGCTATTCTGACGACCATCACAGGTCCGGTTAAAAGAATCATCACACGTTGTGTCGGAAGTCTAAATAGAAATTTCCTCCCCCTCGTTTGACTGACTGGAAACATTTGTACGCTGTCTGATCCTCGTGTTTTCTACTTTAGTGGCCACGATTTTTAACGAAAAATGTCTTCGATTATTTTCATCACTGTACGTAAGAACATCGATGCTTTAACGTATATTTATTTTTATCGTGTTATTTCGAAATTGGTTACCCTCAATTTTCTCATTAATCAGTTTTCAACTAACAATCAATTGGACGTAATCTTTCGTTTCTCCCCCTCTCCAAAAAAGAAAAAAGCTCGCTAAATTATAAGAAACCTGCAACAGTGGAATTTATCAACGTCGAATCAGCCAGATCGGCCATAAAATCGTGCTGCAAGTCATTTGCAATATTCCTTGCAAGAGTACCTTATATAATCGCGCAAATATCTTTATACAAGGATCAAAGAAATTATTCATGAAAAATCACGAAAAATGTAAATTAAGGAATACGACAATACGAAAATAAATCGCCCCAACCTCGCGAATATCGATAAAAAAAAAGAACAGAAACAGAAGAAAAGGGGAAATTAATTAACGATAAGAAATGAAGGATATCGACGATCAACTTTAACGTTTCATTCGAACATTTCTCATCTCTCTGAACGACCCTCCATCCTCCTCCGTCGTGAGGTTTCTCGGAGATTTTCCCCCGATTTTGCCGAGAAAAATAAATCACTCGACATTCCCACGAATTTCGCCCCCCCCATAAAATGATTATGCGAAGCGTCTTGGCCGGGTGCACGAGCAGGAAAGGGCGCGCTTTAATTTGGCGGCATTGTCGGGAAAATTAAAAGCTTATCTGTTGGGCCGCTCCTCCGCCATTGTCTCGTCGCGGAAATTATTATCAACACCACCGGCGACGATGTTGCCGGATAGTTGAATTGTTCGAACGTTGATTCCGCGCCATTGTTCCCTCGTCGCGTCGAGCAACCTTCCGCCTTGACGTCGCGTGTCCTTCCGCCGTTTTCCACGAAAACGCAGTCCCCGTTTGATCGCACACCGTTAATCTTGAAATCAATACCGGTGGAGAGATGGGGAGGATGAGTTGCGAGCTGTTTGTTGCAGGCTGACCCCCAAGCCAGGAGGCGGCAGCTCGAGTTCTAGTAGCGTATGGGATGCTCGTTTCGAGGTTGATTCACCTCATCGGAGATACTCGAGTTGTTCGCAGTTAGATAGGATTTATTTGACAATTTTTATTTTCGAGAATTATAGAGAAATCATTTCTTTTTTGTTTTCCACATAAAGGAAAAATTTCTTGAAGTTCTATATTGGAAGTGAATAAATTCCTCGTGTCGATATTCGCACATTGAAAGTAATATTCATTATAAATCTATTCCAACACGGAATGAAATTTCCACGATGTTTAATATCGAAGAATAATTAATTGAAGGTAATCGTTATTAATAATTAACTTCGTTAAGAGAGATTCACACGAGGCAAAGATTCATCCTCTCCTCTAATATATTCATCTATGTATAAATTCTACCTAATTCTCCTAATTTTCTTTAACTCGAACGGATTTCATGCACAGGAATACATCCTCGAGGAAAGATGCGCGAAATCGAAGGTGAAAGGGTGATAATAGGTCGGCCATTTTCTCGTCCCACGACGACGATAGAAGCTCGAAGCTTATCAGCCATCGATTAATTACTGGACATTAACTATGAAACATTACGATGCTCGAGCAGATTTGACGAGGACAGGGACGGGGGGCGACGTCGAGGAGTCAAGAGGGGAGGGGATGTCCGTGCTCGCTTTCGTCGTTATGGGCAAAGGGTTCGTTTAATATGAATTGCGTATTAATAACGGAGAAACTAGGCGCGAGAAACGCCACCACTTATTATTATTTATCCCGGTGATTAATTCAAGCCGGCGTGTTGCGGCGTGTCGCACCTGCGCCATCCGAAGCGTTGCAAGCGTCCCTGGAAAATTGGTTCGTTCGCTTTCGAGCGGATCTCTCTTGGCTGCGAACGAGCGCAGGTGTTACTTTGTCTGGGATGACTTTAAAAATTGCCCTCAGCGCTGGGACGCCGAACCGCGAAATTAAGAAATCGAGCGTTGTTCGTCGGTGCTGTTTAATTGTTGAACGATGAAACACTGTTGCGGAGAGCGGGGAATATTTGTGGTGTGAAAATATTTTATTTCCTTTCCCCTTTTTCTTTTTACTTTATCGCGAAAATTTCGAACAAATTTTGTTCCCTTTTTAATATTTTAACAGAATTGTCATTCTCTACATTCGCGTACAATTAAATTTCATATAAATGTATAAATACGTGGGGAAGGGAGAAGGGTCTCCCTCATTTGATGGAAACTGATTTGTATGCGGTATTAGATACAAATTACTTGCGGGAATTGTTGAATACAGAGGAGGGGGGTCACGAACGAAGGGCTTAACGTATTCAATCTTATCCTCCTAATACACCGTTCTTGCGATACGGATTAATATCCAAGTTGTTGTTGCCCGAGCCTCTTGTCTGAGCACAGAAGGTTTGCATAGAAAGCATCGATTTTCGTCTAATTATCGAAGTTCGGTTTGGGAAGGGTTACTTACCTATTGGATAGATAACCGTTGCTCAACTTGATACACCGTTAACAGTGGAAATTTACTCAAACTGGTTGCTCATATTATGTGCAACCACGCTTGTATTATTATTCGCAATAGAAAGAGAAAATCGTTTAATGGAAATAATCGGATTTGCTCGCGTTCTGTTTTGTCTTTTTCTTTTCTTTCGAGATTCAAACTCTGAATCTGAAATATCGTCGCCTCCATCTTTCCTACTATTAATGACATTATACAAAGAACGAAAACGATGAAACGTATCACGCATGGAGGATCGTGTTATAAATCACGCTGAAAGGCCATCCATATCGGCTACCGACGTATACGGTGCAAGTAACTTCGAGGACGGTGCTTTAATAACACGCGAGCGGACAGCAGATATACAGAGCGGCGCGTCCTCAATCGCTGCCGACTCTTTCCGAAAAAACGAGCACAAATTTTGCGTTCAAGACAACGAGTATCGACACAGCCGTACATTTATTTGATCTATGACGACGTTGCCCTTTCGTTGTTGAAAAAAAGAAAGAAAAAAAAAAAAGGAAGGAGAAGGGAAAGGAGAAAAGAGAAAAATGAGAAGCCGAAAAGAAGAAGAAGGAGAAGAAAGATGAAACGGATAATGTATTTTCATTTGTTCCAGTCTAATAACCCGGCTCTATCCGTGGAAAACGTCGACAGTCGTATTTCACTCGTTACTACACTTGGCTGAATATCGCGAGTACAACTTCTCTCTCTCTCTCTCTCCCCCGCCTCCTCCCTGACCAGCAATTTCGATTGATTTTTATTCGAAACTTGCTCCCCCTCCCCGTTAAACAAAAGCCGGGCAACAGAAGGAACTATCTTAAATAATCGTTATCAGTGGCGTTAATGGCGGCCGGCTATCGTTTTTCCGCCGTTGCCGATAATGGGAAGAGGAAAAGCCGCGGCGGCGAGTTTCGAGACACTCGAGCGGCCAGCGGCCAGCCGAATTATCGATAGATCGATAATGCCGATCGATTGGCGGCTTGGAANCTTAGGCGAGAGGAGGAGGGGGGTAAAGGCTTGCCGAGTCCTGCCGCGCACGTTCTCCATCATCGTTCGCCGGAAGTTTTCGAACGGCAGAAAGGAATTCGCGTTGCGGTAACGCGCGTTGTTTGCCTCGATAATCCGATTTTCGACGATGTTAAAGGAAGCGTGGTTCGAAATTGGCCGGAAATTCGCGCGAATTTCATTTTTTCTTTTCTTTTTTTTTTTTTTTTTCTCTCCTCTCGAAAACCTCAGAACGAATGTGTCACGGGAACGACGAACGCGTGATATTATCCGCGATAGATATTTCGGTCCACGGAAAATTTTACGTGGAGGATATTGGACAGGGAGGGAGGGAGGAGGGGGATCGTTCGGATGTTTTAATTTGTTCCAGCTATCGTTTCGATATCGGTAATTGGCTTGCGGCTTTTTCGAAGTTACGTAGGCAGAATGGTCTGTTCGAAATTTAACCCGTGATGGAATTAATATCTAAATATTTTATATGTAAATGATGGTAATTAAGAAGCGATGTATCGAATGAGATATATGTCTTAACGAAATAATTACATCGATTCGTTCGTCATTTCGGTGAAAGGAGAAAATTTGTCATTTCGATGACGATTTGGATGGATCCGGTGTTGAAAGAAATAATTTTTTCAATTTTAAAAAAAAAAACGCACGAGATAATCCGGTTAGGGGGAAAGTATTGTTACGATATTTCAAACAAATGAGAAACGAGCAACGGTATTAAGGATTTATCCGAGTTCATCCGAGTTAAAGTAATATTTACGGGTTATATCGTGACAGAGTCTATCTATGGGCTGGGAGCGTAAAAAATACGGTTATACGAAGAGATAATTATAACGTATCGGTTCGAGATAATCCCGCCGAAAATGGCGTACTAATTGGTCGACCGCATTTACGTGGATGACGATGCGAAGTCTTCTGATTCGTGGCCACAAATATTCGCTGGAAACGAGCACGCGTAACCACCGCATTCCTCACTGTTTAATTAATCGACGATTCGCTGCGATGAAAAATTTCTCTTTCTTTTTTTTTTTTTTTTTTTTTTCCTAAAAAAAAAAATTTTTTTTTTTTTTTTTTTTTTTTTCCCAAAAAAAAAAATTTTTTTTTTCTTTTTTTTTTTTTTTTTTTTCTCCTAAAAGAAAGAATTATCTTTCTCTATTTTATTTAATTACTTCAATATCTCAAAAAAAAAAAAAAATACCAATTACAGCGATCGACTTTCTTACATTTTTTAAAGTAATTTTTTCAAATTCAAAAACTGAGATCAACGAACCAATGGATCTCAGTTGGATCAAGTTGCAAAATTATTTATTTAATTTTATCAGAATCGATATTATATAAGGAAGCAAAAGATTGTAGATATTTTTACTCGAGAGAGAGAACGATTTTGCCAGAAAAGATAGTTGGAACTTATCGAATTCAATAATATTTCCACGGTTCCATCCCCCCTATAATTCCAACCGCTTTTTCTCGCCTCATCAAAATTCATAATCCCGCGATTCGATTCCGCGCGCAACGTTATATCGATTCTCTCTCGTTTCAGCTGGTGGCGCCAAACCGCGAAACTTCGAATTGAATTTCGCGAAAATATTATTCTCCCGTCGTTTCTCGTGGGAGGAGTTGGAAACCCGACTCGATTTAATTAAACAATTTCAACGTTCCGCGGGATTCCAGGCCGTGCGAACCACGGCCATCGATTAAGACTAAATTATGCGCCTCTTTTAGGCAAGTAATCCGAGAGTTTAGAGATGCAAACTGTAAAATCGGTTGACGAACGACACCCCCGGGAAATTAGGGGCAATTGCACTATCGAGACTTTGTGTACGCGCGTGTTTTAAACGCGTTGACAAATACAACCTTGTTGTTCGAACACTCTCGTTTCTTTTTTTTTTTTTTTTTTTTTCTGACTTATGCACACACCTTCTCGACGGTTTAAATATTTTTCACGGGGATGCAACGTTTTATCGCGTTTCCTATCGCGTGTTCGAAACTTTCGAGGCAACTTGCCCTCGCCAAGTTTCATCGATCGATATTCGCAAATAATTTAATAGATTATTTTACAAGGTAGAAAGAGGTAGAGTTTAGAAGTTTCTTTTTTTCTCTCTCTTTCTTTCTCAATTTTAATTTGTAATTCGTAAAAAGAAGATGTGATAAAAAGTATAATTAGCCTTCATCTTAATACTTATTAATATTTATTGTTGAAGTTAAAGTAGATCGATCCAAGTTACTACTATGAAGATTATTTATTTTTGAAACAATTGAGAGTAGAGTTTTCTTTTTTTATTTATTTATTTTATAACGTTTCACGATGCAATATGAATCTACAAGGTAAAAGATCGAAAAATGTCTTTATATTCTCCAACGAATATGGAAGGAATTTACGTATAAAAATAAAGCAGATCGAAAAGGACAATCTGAATTTGCTTATCCGTTAAAATGTCTCTCAAACGTGCTCTCAAACATCTGCCGCTTGTACTACATATGTTCGTAACGTGTCCTATCGATGCATACTTGATGTATCCTGGACGTTTCGTCGGTACATACGCGAAAATGTTACTTCTCTCGCGTCACCTGTATCCAGGACGAGAGGAATGACATGTCCTGTATTACATTTCCTGTGTCTTCATATCTGTGCTCCATGTATTACGTTCGATTAAATAAAGAACGAGAATCGAAACGATTTTTTTTTTTGAAAAAGAATAAACTCGATGTGAGATCAACTGGATTAAAAAGAAGAAACGTCGATTGCAAATTTTATTCAATATAGCGAGGAAAGATTCGTATTGCTGTGAACAGAGATAGCGTTCAATTTGAATAACTGAACGTTGAGTTATATAGTAGAATATAATATAATTGTGTATCCAAATTCTTTTCAAAATTTTCTTTATTCGCATCGATAATTTATTTTCAACATTCGTCCATTCGTAGTTGGAACGTAGATTTTCATTTTCATGAGATATTGTTTCACGGTTAAATTGTAAATAACGTTAAGTAGAGTTGACCGTGGTGACAGTTTGCGCAGCGGAAACGAGCCTTCCACGCGTCACGTGAAACTTTCGGTGTTTCCGTTTGCCAGACGAAAACTTTCCCTTGGCTGGTGGAGACGAGAGAGAGAGAGAGAGAGAGAGAGAGAGAGAGACGCGATATTTTACTTTTAACCAAGGAAGAAGATTTCTCGAGACATCTCCGTTTTTAACTTTACCCGATGAAGTAATTTTAAACGCGTTGGCCAGAAAAATTTCCACGGTTGATTCAACACCCAGAGAAAAATATTTGATTTTTCATCTTAATTTTGAGAATTCCAGTTGAATCCGCGAATCAAATGAATTTACGTGAAATTTTTATATTCTAGATAGTTACTAGACATTCTACCCTATTTCTTCCATATTCTTCTCTCGTAAACAAAATTCGTAAGAAAATAAATTCCTTGCTTGGATATTCAAGTAGAAATTTCGAATAATACCATTGATTAATTCCACTTTCTCCTCACTTCGAAGTAAAAAGATTATTCGTCGAATATTCGTTAACTGTAAATTCAATTCACAGGTTCCATCAAACGATCGCGCGTTTAGCAAAATGTTTCGAGGCAACGAATTCAATTTACTTTACGCAACAATTGCTGTTGAGCAGTAACTCGATCTTTCAACTCCCAAGTGCCGTTGTTTCTGAACGGAGTGAGAAGGGAGAGAGAAAGAGAGAGAGAAAGCCATCGTCGAACGAAACAAATTCTTTTTAATCTCTGGATAGTAATCCGCGGAAGGCTTTACGGTCCCGTGAAAGTTGGCCACGGTTGGAAAAGAGACTCGTAACTCGTATTAATTCCCGTTAAAAGGTAAGTAACGCGATGCGCCATTTACCCCATCGCGGTACGCGGCTCATTCTCCACTCCCAGCCTTTCCGTTCCTTTCCATTCTTTCCTCATTACCACCATAAGTGCCTATCCACGCGAAATACGTGTGCACACATTCGTACACCTGACCATTCACCGCCTGCCCATATAAGATGGTCGCTGGTATTTCTTTCTCTTCCCGCTTTTTCCGCGGGAATATAACGAACATGTTTCTTTAATACCCTTTCTCTCCTCCTCCCCCCCTTCTCGTTCACGAGAAGAATAAAACTGCTTGCCTCTTAGCTTTTCGTTGTTGTAGTTTTTTTTTTCTTTTTTTTTTCTTTTTTTTTTCTTTTCCTTTTTTTTTTTTTCTCGGTTCTATTTGCCGTTAACCACAACCGGCGTAGTAAAGGGAACCAACAATGAAGATAGTTAGGTAGCTACACGTACGTTAAACTACCTCTTTCTATCTCTCTCTCTTTCTTTTCGTTTCTTTTTTTCTTGAGGATGAAGTTGAAAGGGATGTTTTGTTAATTTTGGTTACTCTCGTATGTCACTTCTCTCTCCCTCTCAATTTTCTTTTCACGAAATTTCGTGTTTCGAACACGTCTAAGAGAAACTTTGTAAATTTTATATAGAGAACGCGAGATATTTTAATTTGAATTTCTCGAGGATAAGATTATTTTTCAAAAGTCGTATTGTAGTCAAGAGAAATTCATAGATCTTTTAAATTCTTTTAAATTTTCTCGAAATAGAGAGAAGACTTGAATAAATTTTATTCTAAAGTAATCATCCTTCCGATTGCTTGATCGATGTCGCTTTCGCGAAATCTTAAAACCTTCCTCTTTCCTTTCGAGAAAGATTTCAAGACACCTAACAATAATAATAATAACAAGAACACTCGAAAACGAAACTTTCTCGATACATCTGTCTCTCTAACGCGTACGCTAAAAACTTCTTTCGATGCAAAGTGGATCATAACGTAAATACGTAAATCCCATCGAGGCTTCAATTACACCTGTCTTCCGGGAAGCCGGTATCCAAGTTAATTCCCGGTCATAGGCCAATCAAGGCTCCGATAGGGGTAGATAAAGGACGAGCCGAGGGAGTTAAGCGGGGTGGAACCGCTGCCAGTTACGGACGACGAGCCACCGAGCAAGAGAGAGTGGCGATGCCGA